TTACAAAATTTGAAAACCACACATGTCAATTATGATGAATACTGCATAAATTAAGCTTTCTATTTGTGATAACATCTCATACCCATTCAATGCTTATTCTTCTTATGCTCCACAAATTTGAAATTTTTCAAGGGATACTTTCCTAGAGATCCACAGGACTCAACCCAAATGCGTTTCTTATTATAAGAATCTAATATTTAATCTGCATTAAAATAGAAGAAGTTATGCACCAAAAAATTATGCATTATAATTTACATAACGTCCTTTCATAACAAACTAACATACATACCAATCTCTTAGCATCCTTCACTCTCTGTTTAGCTGCTTCAGTTGTAAACATACTATCATATATTGTTACAACATGATCTACCATATCCAACACCAACAGATACCAATGTGAATTATGGTAGTTTATTGTGATCATGATCTGCAACAAATTTCACACCCAATTTGACAAAATTCAACATTCTATATCCGAAAACATCATTTGCAATTGGTATGGTGTCTTACCTTCTCACAGTCGGTGAATTTCACATAGTTATCCAATATGACACCCCAGAAGGTAGAAATACTCTCAACACTTTCTTTGTTGTTGGCTTCCAACGCCTGTTGCTGTAATTACGCAACAAACATTATTAATTTACCGTCTATAACACTACTTTTCAATATTTATTAATTTAACTCACCACTAAGAGGTATGGAAGGTAGCCAATCCTTCGGAGTGACTTTTGAGAATCGTAGCATATGGTCCAGGCGAGCAAATCGATAACCTAACAAAATTAATTACACAATCAGAACATATTCAATAAGTTTTAACATTTTCTACTTTCTACTTACCACACCGCCAACCCATTCCGTAGGCTTCAACGTTGCAACGTCGTATACAGTAGCGAATTGATTTCCCATTGAGATTACAGAATATTGTATGAATCATTAGGATTAATATGTTGTCATGAAATATTTAAATATCACTCACAAAACAATATATTTCACTTACCCGATTCTAACTCGCTATTCCATAAATAATCACAAATTGCAGCTTCGATGTCATCAATTCCGCTTGGAATATCCGCTTTTTCAACCTACAATTTTGCATACAAATTTTTGTCACAACAACATAATAAAAATCAAATTAAGTATTCTTTTATTAAACTTACCTTCTGCTTCTTCTTCTGGGGTGCAGGACATTCCGAATCCAAAACTGCTGCTATAACACTCTCCGGTGTATAAATGACATCGACTTCCTTCCTCCTCATTTCTTCCATCTCTTCTTCTTCCTCCTCCCTCTTTTCTTCTTCATATTTTTTCAGTTCATCGTACTTTTTTCTACATAGCTCTTCATCTCTTTTATTTCACCCTTCAATTGAGCTCCTTCATCCGAGTATTTATCAACCACCCCCTTCACCCCCGTAAGTTCACTCCTCAAATCCACAACCTCCTTCACCACTCCCTCAAATTTTTCTCCCGTCACCATCTTAATATCACCCCTTAACACCCCAACTTCTTTCACCACTTCACCCCTCAACACCTCTACTTCTTTCACCACTCCATCTATTTTTCCTTCCACTACCCCCTTATGCCTCTCGAGTGTATCTTCGACTCTCTCGAGTTTCTCTACGACTTGATCAAGTTTCTCTTCGACTCTTGATTGTCTTTGCATGATTTCAAATTGGATTTTTTTGATATCAGCCAATTCAGACATCAAAATGTCGAAGTTACTCTGTTTTGCTTCACCGTCGTCCACTCACCGTCATCCCCCAATACAACCATCCCTCCTTTCTTCTCCTCTGCCTCCACTGCCTCCTCTACATCCTTGCCAATAACCTTCAAAATTAAATTACAATATTAAGACATTGATTATATTCTTAATATTATTTAATTACATTTATTACCATTTCTTGCTTCTTCCCTCTATCCAACTTCAACTTCACCATCACTCTAACCACCTCTTCCTTCCCCCATGCACGGATGCGTGCCACTCCGGTTCTTTCATAAGCCGGCACTGCCTCACAGCCCGACCAAAAATCGAACAGTGCAACCTGCATTTATAATAAAATTTATATTTTTATATAAAAACACAAAAAGTGATTCAACTCATTTACCTCTAAGATTGCTATGCACCCTTTGAGGTATCTCTGGCTGCCCTTTTTAAAGGTGATGATTGATTCAATCAATCTCGAATGGATATATTCAGCCCAATTGAATTCACCCTTCAAGCCTTCATCGCAAATGAGCTTCATATATTCCTTGCTCGTTGACGTATCACCCGTTGGACAAAGAAATATCCCGACAAGGTACAATAGAACTCGGGCCTTCAGCTCATCCCCCCAATAAGATCCACTTTTGATATCCTCTTCAACTTCAGCATATGTCACCTTATGATTCAAACCATATTTGGAGGCAAGTGCTTTCCAGTTCTTACTCCTACAGACTTCTATAACACTTTTGCCTTTGTTTTGTACCCCCAATACGGCTGCAGCAGTTGATACCCCCAGAGGGAATGAATAATCACCATACTTAGCCATACATTGACTAACGTCAAATTGTGCCATCAAGGATCGACACAATTCCCTCCGAATAGGTCGATCCCTTACTCCGATCAACGATCCAAAACCTATTTCTCCCAGCACATTCAACTGACCCTTCTCCTTAAGGTGTTTAATTAATAAATTCACCCTTTTAATGCTGCATCTTGTCGACACTTCCTACATTTTTTAACAATATATAATGTTATAGTTCTTATATATTTGTATCAACGTATTTACAAGTTTAATGAATACCTTATTTTCATGTGCTTTCCTCCGTTCTTTGTATTCTTACTATCATTCCTTGACTGTGTGATGTAAGGTTCCTTTTCAGCATCACTCATTGAATTCCATTTGGACCTCACATCTTTTTTCACCTAATATTAAACATAAACGTTTCTTAATCAATACATTAACACTAAATACTAATACTACTCAATGTCAATTTCATTTTACATACCGAACCGCTCTGTGTGCCATCTCCCTTCATCCTTTTGCATTCGGCCATACTGTTAACATTTAAAATTTGTAATCAATTTAAAGTTTATCGATACTTTAATCCAATTACCATTTCAACAATAATAACAAAAAGACATTGATACTTACTAGAAGTACATATATCCACCCTTTGGTTGCTTTCGAGTCTCGTCCTCAATTTCAAAGTCATCTGCTCCACCAACAATTTTCCAACCCATTGACTCCATTTTTCCTTCATATATCAGTTTACGCAAATCAAATTATTTTGTTACATACACTTTTCAATATACAAATATAGATAACTACTCTTGTGGTAAAACGGTTTTCTTCAAAAGAATTTGAATGGCCACACCAAAATGTGTCGGCACATTTATACAACCTATAATATTTAATAAAAGTATCGACATTTATATTTTTCCTTGAATATCTATTTCTACCTGCAATCGGTCCCAAATGCTTCCTTACTCCAAAACCCCAAACAACACATAAAAAACCCTATCGCGATTACTGTAATAATAAAAAATTAGGGTTTCGACAACATACTTTTCGATTCGACTGCAGCAACAAACAAACAAACTTCGCTTTAGAAACGCCTTCTGAAATGCAGCAACAATTACTCTTCGATTTCAAAAACTCGTCCGTTCTATCTTTTTTCAGAGGATATTTAGCTATGGCCTTTATATTTTCATCGGATATGTTATTTATATTTAATCGATACAAATACAAAAGTGTCGATACTTTTATGTCAGGTGTCGATACTTTCGAAAGGATAATTACCTATTTCTTTGAAAGTGTCGATAATTTATTACACGTACTTACGAAAGTATCGACACTTTCAATATATCCGGTATCATTTTACCGGTTTTATCATTTTGATACCGGTTTTATCATATTTTACCTGTTATATCGTTGTGGATCGATATATTTTTTTAAAGTATCGACACATTATAGGCGCTATAACTGCTTCTCTTTTAAATTCACAAAGTGTCGATCCTTATATAACGTATCGACACTTTTAAATTTACCGGTTTTATCATTTTGTTACCGGTTTTATCATATTTTTACCTGGTGTATCGTTTTGGATCGATATATTTTTTAAAAGTATCGACACTTTTTAGGATTTATAACTGCTTTTAAAGTTATGTAATTTATGTTTCAATTTATTTAATAGTGTTTCATGTTTTCCACCTACAATATTAATTTAATAATTTAATTTACACAAAATTTTATTTGATTGTTTTGATATTTTATAAAATATTATTTAGAATTTAAATTTAACAATATTAACCAAATATAATAATAAATATGTTTTCAACAGTGAAATAAGTATGGACACTTTTATAAAAATGATATATACTTTTTTGAAAGTTATGTAATTTATGTTTCAATTTTTTTAATAGTGTTTCATGTTTTCCACCTACAATATTAATTTAATAATTTCATTTACACAAAAAATTATTTGATTGTTTTGATATTTTATGAAATATTATTTAGATTTTAAATTTAACAATATTAACTAAAGATAATAATAAATATATTTTCACAGTGAAATAAGTATGGACACTTTTATAAAAAGGATAGATAATTTACAATATAACAGGTAAAAATATGACAAAACCAGATTCATTATGACAAAACCGGTAAAATTTACTTGATATGTTAAAAGTATGGACACTTTTATAAAAAGGATAGATACTTACCGATAACCAAAGTTTACCGGTTACCAAATTTTTTAATAGTTTTTCATATTTTCTACCTAAAAATTATTAGTTGTCAACATAATAGGTACCGCTAAACCGAATTTATTAAATACATTTTAATGTATCCGGTAATACTGTATATTAATCGTATATTAACCCGCCTTTCCTGAGACATTCCCGATAACTACACAAAATTCTGGTTGTCATTCATTACATAATTATCTTAGGCTGTCATTGGGCTTTCACGGACAAGACGAGGAATCTTTTCTTAAATCTAATCCATTTTTCCACCGCTCACTCATAGAAAGAAATTAACAAAAGAAAATCTATGGCCGGTGTGGTTTTTTTCTCATCTGCGTACTGAGTAGCTTAGCCTTTCCATGTTTGATCTCTAAGAAAATCCATCAAACACAAACTTTCCCATAATGACTCTCTCTACTTCAACGAATTTTAGTGATTTCAAAACCCTGCAATCTTCTTAACTTTTGTTGGGTATTCGCGGAAATCTCGTGGGATCTGATATTTTTTTTTGTTAAGATGCCGCCGTCTTACTTCCCTCTGCGCTGGGAAAGCACCGGCGATCAATGGTGGTACGCGTCGCCTATTGATTGGGCAGCAGCAAACGGCCTTTACGACCTCGTCGTCGAGCTCCTCCATCTCGACCCCAATCTCCTCATCAAAGTCACTTCGCTCCGCCGTATCCGCCGCCTCGAAACGGTGTGGGACGACGAAGCTCAATTCGACGACGTCGCCCAATGCCGCTCTTTGGTCTCCAAGAGGCTTCTTAATGAGTGTGAGTCCACGAATGGAACCAATACCTTGATAAGAGCCGGCTATGGAGGCTGGCTTTTGTACACCGCCGCCTCGGCCGGAGACATGGATTTTGTCAAGCAACTGTTGGAGAGAGACCCTTTTCTCGTGTTCGGAGAAGGAGAGTACGGGGTCACCGATGTATTTTATGCGGCGGCCCGGAGCAAAAACGCGGAGCTTTTCACCATGCTGCTCGATTTCGCGGTGTCGTCGAGGGATGAAGAGGATGAATCGAGTGAGACTCGGTCGGTTTTTAAGTGGGAAATGATGAACAGAGCGGCGCATGCGGCGGCTAGAGGTGGGGGTACGGAGATTTTAAGGAGAATTCTCGGGGATTCCGATGATGTTTTGGCCTATAGAGATGTGCAAGGTTCTACTTTGTTGCATACTGCTTCTGGGAGAGGGCAGATTGAGGTAACGACAGAACATCGTTCCTGTTATAATGAAGCACGATAATGTCCGAATATGTCTCGGATTCAAGTTCGTGTTAGCTGCTGCATGTTCATGTACATTTTTCTTGCTTTCATTACAGGTAGTGAAGTATCTGGTGACGTCGTTTGAGATCATAGCCTCTACAGATGGTCAAGGGAACACGGCCCTGCATACGGCAGCTTATCGAGGTTATTTAAATGTTGTCGAGTTTCTTCTTCGAGCGTCTCCGAATTTGGCCTCGGTGAAGAATGATTGTGGGAGTACTTTTCTTCATGTGGCCGTGGCCGGTTTTAGAACTCCGGGGTTCCGAAGAATAGACCAGCAGATCGAGTTGATGAAACGATTGGTATGTAGTGAGGTTTTCGAAATTCGAGATATCATCAATGTGAGGAACTCGGATGGGAGAACTGCTTTGCATATGGCTGTCATCGATAATGTTCAGTCTCGTCTGGTGGAACTGCTCATGTCCGTGCCGTGTATTGACCTGAATGTCCGTGATGCCGATGGCTCGACCACATTAGATCTCCTCAAGAGAAGGCCTAAATCCACATGTTCGGAAATTTTGATCAAAGACCTAATTGCAGCCGGAGGGATCTCTAACTGCCAAGACAATGCAGCAAGAAGTGCCATTGTTTCCTGTCTAAAAGAGAATGGTGTAGGTGCCAGTCCCGGAACTTCATTTAGAGTCCCTGATGCAGAGATATTCTTGTACACCGGTTCGGAGAACGCATACGATGCCGGTTGTGATCAAGAAAGCGTGGGATACAGTTCGTGCCTTAGTGACTTAAGCGAGTTGAAGCTAAGTAATACAATCGAAAATAAGAAGCCGAGCTCCATAAATCACACTGCGAGACGCCTAAAGAATCTTCTCCATTGGCCTAGAAAGGAGAGAAAAACTGCGAGCGCAGAATCGGTGGGCGACGATGATCCTCTGGAGGTCATGAGTACTTCTAGAAACTGGTCGGACAGTCATATTCCGCTTCGCGAAAAGTACACAAAATCATCTCTTCCAAACAACACAAGGACTTTTTCACTCGGGAGAGATCTTCCAAGCCCATCCAGCAGGAAGAAATTCACTGCAGGGCTAACGCATGGCGTCATCCAGGCAACACCACATTTAGCTGCTCCTTTAAAATCACCTCCAAGCCCTATCTCAGCATCTTCGACGGCCTCACCTGTATCAGTGGATGAACAAAAGGTCGTCCGCGATGCTCGACTTAAACAGTTGTTCGATGGTAAAGCGACACGAATGAGTCCGAAGGAGAATTCAGTCGATAAGAGGCTGATGAACCAGTATTTCTGTTTCGGAGCACAAGGCCTAGCCCCGTCGAAGATAGCCGAAGCCACACACGGGTGGATCGCAGCATCAAGACCGCCACTTCTTTAGCCGTTTGATGACAAAATATATCAATAAACATCCCAAGTTGTTTTATTTGTTGTTTAATTTGTCTAAATTCAATAAAACCAATCCTTGAACATATTTAAATTTGACCATTTTGACCTCATAGGCAATCCCAAAACCTGTCAAAAGATTCAGATTTCAGTTACTAGAGAAATGGCAGCTTAAGAAAACAACTGTCCACATTATCTTGCTTGAAAATTCAAGCTTACTATTAATAGCTTACCAGATAACTAGAACATGTCGCTTATATGCAGGCTACTTCAGCGAGTTCCCATTATATTCTCTCTTTGATCTTAAAGACCATATACAGATTTGTTCTGAGGTTATCCTTTTTCGATCCCGTTAAAGGAGAAGAACTGAAAATATGGTGTACGAAAACAAAAACCTCGGAAAGCGACCGTGAGAAGGCCATTAACGCTTGGCTTCCCATCACGTCCAACAGGGATGCTAAATGGTGGTATTCAGCTTTCCACAATGTACCGCTATGGTCGGAGCCGGTGTTCTTAGCCTTGCGTATGCCACGGCACAGCTCGGATGGTGTGGTGTTTCTTTCCTCAATGTTAAATGAGTTTCAGGAAAAAATGCATCGATCCATTTTTGCATTAGTATTTCATCGATCAGCTCGAGATTTAAGTCGATGTTGTTGAACTTTGATGAATTACAGGGGTCCAGGGGTGACTATAATGATTTTATCATGGCTTGTGATTTTGTACACCCTTTGGCAAATGGTGGAACCGCACGAGATGATACCCGATAAGCGTTTTGATAGGTACCATGAGCTAGGCCAATCTGCGTTAGATTGAAAGCTTGGTCTATGGATTGTCGTACCCCAGCAATCAACCGTAGATGTCAGTTCCGACATCGTCTACATTGTGACGGGAGGCCAATCGTTGAAGAAGTTCCACAATCCGGTTTGTCCCAACTACCAGAAAATCAGACAAACATATTTCATCATGATTTTCGCTTCAGTCAACTTTGTTCTTTCGCATCTTCCGAACTTCAGCTCCACATCCGGTATCTCACTGGTTGCTGCAGTCATGTCATTGAGGTAAACTACACATTCGTCACTCAGAAAACGGCATTTTCGTATTGTTAATGTTTCATCGATTTAATCAGGTTATTTCATCCTCTTTTAATGCAGTTACTCTACCATTGCTTGGAGAGCTTCGGTTGCTAAGGGAGTTCAGCCAAATGTCGACTACTCGTACAAGGCTTCGAGCACCTCTGGAAAAGTGTTGATTTTTTTGCCGGATTGGGAAAAGTAGCATTTGCATATGCCGGTCATAATGTGGTTTTCGAGATCCAAGCAACGATGCCTTCAACTCCAGAAAAACCTTCAAACGGCCCAATGTGGAAAGGCGTGATTGTTGCATATATGATAGTGGCGATTTGCTACTTACCGGTAGCTTTTATAGGGTTTTGGGCATTCGGAAACTCCGTTGATGACAACATCCTCTTAACATTAGAGAAACCCATCTGGCTTATTGTTACAGCTAACATGTTCTTCGTCATCCATGTCATTGGCAGCTATCAGGTACATAAATGCTTTCCTTAATCGAAACATGAACACTCAGTTAGGTTCGGATTATGCCATTGTGAGCTGATAAAACAATGCAGATATTTGCAATGCCAGTGTTTGATATGATACAGTGCTTTCTGGTAAAGGAAATGCGTTTCAATCATGTTGGTGAATCATACCAACTTCATTTTTCCCATTTTCCTCCTAACAACCCCCCCAACCCCTCTAGTCCTGCTGATGATGTTTGTTGCAGCATTCACTATGATCATTGCCATTTGCTTCCCATTCTTTGGAGGCCTTCTTAGTTTCTTTGGGGGATTTGCATTTGCTCCGACATCATATTTTGTAAGCCGTACCTCACTCCGATATCATCTTTGTTTGTTTTGTATATCGGGAAGAATCGAACCCAAGATCGTTGCCGGTAAATCACGCTTGTTTGTTTCTTGGTTTTCCAGCTTCCATGTATCATCTGGCTCATCATATGCAAACCCAAAAGATTCAGCTTAACTTGGTTTATAAACTGGGTAAGTAAAACAAGTAATAAACCCGGGTTTAGGTTTCCGAACTTACCAGGTACCATGACATTGAATCCTGTTTGGTATGCATGCAGTTATGCACTATTCTTGGTGTTCTGCCGATGGTTCTTTCACCCATTGGAGGCCTTCGGTCAATTATTGTCTCGGCAAAGGACACTACCAATTCTTCTCCTGATTCGATCCCAGATTGTAGAACAGTATGCTGATGATTAAACGGGCAGTAGTTGGTAGAATTTCCTTTTATCGGTTTTATCAAATCCCAGTTTTATCATCAGATGAGAAGGTTGTTCATATGAATTTCTTATTCAATTCCATGACGACCCAAATAGTAGTCAAATGTAATCCATAGTTTCTTGAATTAGTTACAAACAAAACACATTCTAATGGTCATGATAATTATCAACTAAACTTCACCTGGAGCTGTAGAAGCACCTGCTGAAAGCTATATATATATATATATATCAAAGGAAATATGGAGATTTTACATGACCATGCCTCCATCAATGGTGAACACCTGAGAGATAACAATGGCCCATGCTATCAGCAAAGTCGAAGAAATCAGCCATAAGAGATGATCGGCGCAACCATGGCAAAGCTAGGGATTTTAATAAATCAGTAACATTGCACCACTAGTTCTAATAAATCAATGCAATGGCATCCTTCTAGTTTTATATATAAAGAAAGCATAATGAAGATAGTAGATTGATAACCTGTCCTGTGATGTAATCAGAAGTGGGGTTAACCGCCAAAAATTCCACCAGTCCAGCAACTTCTTCCGGCAGGCATACCTGCCTGTATCCATAATAAAAGGGGTTACCACTACTGCAAATGTTACTAAGCATCACTACTACAGACATCCAATTTGAATTGGCGGAAACTAGGATGTCAAATTAATAATTCAAGTTTAAAGTAAAATTTGATGGAAGAGACTTGTGTGAGTAAAGTAAATATCAACAAAGACGAAAGATGCAATGGATTTGGTAAATATCAATAAAGACGAATGATGCAATGGATTTGGTACACTGCAAGGTTTGCAGTACGAAGATCAATTGGACATTTCAAGAAAGTTATTGATTTCAGTGAGTTCGGTTTGAAAAGTTTAACAAATTGAGAAGACTAGTAAGAAATACACATATATGGAAGTGTTTCTGATTTTATAAAATATCTCTCACCCAAGGGGATTGTTGCCAAGATTTTTTTCTCAATATCTTCCCCTAACTTGGAAGTCATATCAGATGCAATAAATCCGGGGGCAACAGCATTGACCTGGAAGAATAATATTACAGAACATTATCAGAGTGAGCATACCCGGCAGGAGTCACATACCCCTGTTTCCTCACCGCCCCCCCCAATCCCATATCAGGAAAGCATCTTTATGGTTTCTTGTCCTCATTTTTTATAATTTCCTTAATAATCAAATAGTCAAGGCATTAACTTTCACCTTCTTCACCTTATCCCACATCACATGTTCTTATTTCTTTTCTTCTTAAGCAAAGGGGGAAATTTTGGAGAGGTGTTTGATAATTACATCCTTAAAAAGCGTGAAACATAATTCGAAAACCCATAAAGCTGGTCTTTCTTATTACTGAAATGGAAGTGTAATATCTCTCGGAGAACTTACATTAATGTTTCGGCTAGCATACTTCCTTGCAACAGTCTTTGTCAAGACAATGACTCGTGCTTTAGCAGCACTGTAGTTGGCTTGCCCAACATTGCCAACCAGACCGACAACTGATGATTATTTTTCCCTGACATTAGAACATATATTAAGACGTGGTACATATTCTAAAATACACTCTTCAAGCGGAGGAACTTCTCTTTATTTCTCACATTAGAAAAGAGAGTATCAACAACAATATGCATCTCTGAACCTATGCATTTTAAGAAACCAAAGCTCAAATTTACAAGCTGCAGCAATAAGCTGATTTGGAGGTACAAGGTTCTAGTCAGAACAAATTGATGAAGCAAAAACACTACTTGTGAACCCATATGGAGAAGTATATTATTACCTTTCTCTTCTTCATCATGATTTTAGCTGCTTCCTGCAAAAAGATAAGTCAGTCAGTTCCAATTCAAGACTCATACATCGACTAGAATAGCGAGTCATATGTCCAGCATTCATAACTGTGTACAAAGAAACACTCCAGTAAGTTTCAGATCAACAACATCCTGCCATTGTGATTTCTTCATTCTCATCAACAAAGTATCCCGAGTAATTCCTGAAACCATGTCAATCAGATTAAGACAGAAGACGAATCAACAGTTAAACAACTAAAGAGAAAAGAAAGGATTTTCGGTAACCTGCATTGTTTACCAATATATCAATAGTTCCCCATGCATCAATAGTTAAACAACTAAAGAGAAAAGAAAGGATTTTCGGTAACCTGACCAATATATCAATAGTTCCCCATGCATCAAGTGCCTGCAATACAAAGTCATAAAACATGCCTCTGCCAAAGAATTACAAAATATGAAAGGAAAGGGGAGATTGACTTTACAGTTTTCATCATTGCCTCCACATCAGCTTCTTTTGAAACATCTCCGCCAAAGGTAATAGCCTGACCACCGTATGACTCAATCTAGAAAACAATCGCCCAAACTTTTAGCATTTGTCATGCCAACCATGCGGTATAACAAATTTAATGGCAGCCCAAAGAATATGAAAGCACTTCGATAACAGCAAAAACTAGATGCATAATTGAGCATAAAAGGGATCCTAGGATGGATTTTAGGAAGCCAGCAAACTCTCATCCACCAGTAGAAAGATTCCATTCCAGCACATAACAGTAGCTTATTGGACAACAAAGTTACTGCAATAAAAGCTGTTAAAAAATCTTTGTAAAAATTTCCTCAGAGGGCATATCAGTTACCTCTTTTGCAACTTTCTCAGCTTCATTTGACAATCTAGCATAATTCACTAGGAACTGCAAAGCATTATCAACATTATCATATATTTTAGATATCTTCTTCGTACCTTCTATTGATAAT